TTTTCATTCTCGTTATCGACGAGTTTCAAGGGACTTTTTGAATTAGTTGTCCGTCCTTTATTCCATCTCTCTCGTCGAATGGAGAGATTTTTTTTTCTCCGTGGATCCTCGTCGAGTAGACATACGTCATAAAGCTAAAAGATTCGTACTTAAAGACGCGACGATGTGCCGACACTAAAGCGAACTTCCTCAAACAGTAGGTAAGAAAAAACGGTACGGTTTTACGATGCCGTAGAATAAAATGAAATACACGAAGCTGTTTCGTCTTGAGTTCTTTCCCGAGATTTATTCCCGGCCGAACTAAAGAGTATGACTTTAAAGAGTTCACTCCCCAACCCCTCGTACGTTTTACTCCTCAATGAAAAGCGTTCTGGAAAAGTTCTCCATTATATGATCGTTGCTCACGCGTAATTACCCCGGACCGTAGTCAAAGCACCGCTCGATTATCGCGAAAGGCAGTGAAAAGGATTGCAGTCACGAAGACAAGGATATCTTGGCTGCTGGCCCCGTGGATAATTTCATAAGCACGAGTCCCGTCTCGAGGAGTTTTTAAAAATGATTAAAGTTGGAGCAGCGTTACGTTCCCCAGCCCCTCGTTCTTCCCAATTCTTTTTCTTCTCCCGCTTTCTCTTGCTTTGTCTTTTTTCTAACCGCACCCCACTTTCTCTTCTCACCTTTTATCTTATTCACTTTTACGAGACAAAATATCTGCCCAAAAATATGTCGATTATTGTTCAGTTTGTTAACCCTTTGCGCTCGCCCGAACCACCAACTCTCGAGACGATATTTGCTGAATTTCCACATTAAATTGTAATTTTATTTAGTAAGACGGTAATAAAGATGAATGTCAAAATGATCAATGAAACGATTGAAAAGTCTTCAGCTCAATTCCTCTCCTTTTACGAGAAGAGCGCGTGTAGTCTTACGCACCATTACCGTCCCTTTCTATTATCCCTTTTTTACGAGCACGCTCCTACAGATGGAAGATTTCTCTTTTCGATATAATTACTGGCCGTCAGAAATCCTTGATGAATAAATTAATTCCACGTCCGCACCCTCGGGGCTCGTTTCCATTTATCGACCTAAAAGATAGATATATATATATATATATAGAGAGAGAGAGAGAGAGAGAGAGAGAGAGAGAGAGAGAGAGAGAGAGATAGAGACAGAGAGGGCAGCTTCTGTCGTATTTTTCTTTCGATTAAGAAATCCAACCCCCTGCAATACTAGCTTCCAATCGGAAAGTAGACCAAAATATTTGAGCTAATAAGAAAGGTAATGCAATAACTCGCGTTCGTATGTTTTTCGAGCAAACGAAGAAACCTTTTTCTTCCTTACATCGGAGTAACAATTTGGCAGTCTCGTTACGACGAATAGCTAAGTCCATAAAAAGTTGACACGAGCTTTTAAGCTTTTTACAAAAAATACCATTATATGAAATGCCAGTCGGAAGCTGAAAAGAAAGTTGAAAAAGATCGAGTAAAAGGAAAAGAAAGAGAGAAAAAAAAAAGTATAGGTAGGTAGTATTTCCAATTTAACCGCGTCGCTCCATCCGCAAGTTCGGTATTCAGTACGCATCGCGGTTAACAGCGTTTTCTGGAACTCTAGTTAATTGAGTTTTATTCTCGGCTTTCTTAACTCGGCTTTCTTAACTCGGCGTTCAGCACCGGCTTCCACTCTCCCCTCCCCCAACCCTGCCCAACGTTCCTATGTAGTATTATCAACATCGTGCTCCGCGTACCTCTCTAGATCTTTCTTCGAATGCTGTCTTTTCATTGTCGAACCTTGTCGAATTTCCTAACGCACCTAAACGATCGCCCATACCTACTTACATACTTACGTTGGTTCGACATACTGGCGCAGCTGGCAACTAACGCTAATAAATTGCCACGAAATCGAATTACGCGCCAACTTCTTACTTTCTAGCGGAAACGTGGCCCATAGTATTACCAACCCGAATATATATTATTGGCAAACCTAGTGCAAATTGCCGTTCCTTCATATTACCAAACCTCTATCCCGTATCGATTTCTAGATTCAATTTCACTTCTATTATATAATATCTAATACATCTTTAAAAATATATTTCTCTATTTTTCTCTAATATATCAAATGATATAATACGAACTTTAAACTAATACCGTATGATAAACTTGATTCTCTGGTATAGAAAGAAGCAACTCCCTGTCAGATCTTCTAAAAATAGAATAAAATAATTAGAGACGATCAAAGGATTCCTCATTTTTCTTTTCTTTCGAAACGTTCGAGATACCAAAATGTCATTTCTTGTAGCGAAGAAGGATAACTACTTTTTCGAATCAACGAGCAAGACGGATTATGATCGATGAGAGAATTATCAGGAAACCGGAAGTCGAAACCCACAACTCTAATCTCTTATCGGATCTTTCATTCCTACTTTGTATCAATTATTCTCTTCCGCAGTATTCTTAAATAATTAATCTCATTTGAATCGTCTATTTCGAGTAATATCGCATTTGAAATTATCAAGCAATTCATTATTCTCATATCTTACTCGAAGTTTCGGTCTTAATGGATTGTACAATGGATTGTACAATGGATTGTACAATGGATTGTACAATGGATTCTACTAGGGAATTCGATGTTTCGAAGAAAAATCTATTAAGGTAGAATTGAAGAAAATAATGAAAAATAATGATACGTAGAGTATAAAGATAAGAGAGTAAATTAGGTCATCGCCTATAGACTTATAGACGAGTTACGGCATGTATAGGCAGGCAATGTACGATCGTTGCTCGCGTCTGCGACTTCATCTTTCTCTTTTCTTGTGTGTTTTACAATGTGCGAACTCGAAGAAAAAGTCCAAGGAAAAAGTAATAGCCTCGTAATGCACCTTCTCCCCCTATCGTGTTTACGACATATGCTGACGTAAGCAAGCATCATAAAACGTAGTCTGCTCGCCCGTGTAATTTCATTTCCTCCTCCGGCTCGGAATTGATGCTTCTATCGCGTCCGTTAGTTTTATTTCATAAAAAATGATGATACATTGTCGGCCCTGACAACGCGAAACGAGAGAGCGAATTTTTTAATAACTCCCAGAGTCCTTGCTCAATTTGCTAATTTAATTATAATTAAACGCGCCCGTTTCATACTCTGCTGAATATTTATGCAATGTCTTTGAATGACTCCGATACTACCCACTCGTATAGCCCCATATGTAGGTACATGTATGCTCGGCCATCACCCTTCGCTATTTCGTTCGCTTGCTACGGCCGCCCGTATTGAACGTATCGGACACTCGACATCAAAGAGTTCGCTGTTAAAAAATGTATTGCCTGGGCTCGCTGTTATTTGATATTGATTAACTCCGTCGGCAGATGAAAATAATGATGTGCGATGCATGTTTGCGGTTCCGCCTTGACGTTTTCCTCCTCCTCCTCCTCCTCCTCCTCCTCCTCCTCCTCCTCCTTCCCTTTTTCTACCATTAACATTCATAGGGAATAATTAATATATGCATTAATAATAGTAAATAAGATTTTGTAATGATTTTTGATTAATCGTCAGTTAAAATCATCTTTTACTCGTCGATGTCGTCGGTAGTCGCAATTATTTTAATTGCATTCGAAATGAAACGGAAGTTCTCGAGGTGGCGGGAGGTAAAGCTCGGGGTGGAAAGATCGATAAACGCGCAGAAATCTAAACAAGAGAGTAGGTAGAGCGGGTTAACGCGAACGAACTATAGGATAGGATCGAATCGTCGGAGCGTTGACCCTCCCAACTCTACCCGGCTACCCGACTATAAGCTGCAGGTTACTACTTAACGTAGTCCTATTTACCGTAACACGCAGTAAAGCGCCCTATCCCTTCCTTTCGCCGTTATAAACTACGTGAAATATGCTTCGTACAAGGGCGATTGCATCGGCGACTGCACCGGCGACTGCACCGGCGACTGCACCGGCGACTGCACCGGCGACTGCAAGAAAGAACAAACTACCACAGCGATTTGTGCTCGTCATTTCGACATCCCATCAAAAATATAAAATAAAATTGGAAATGATCGAAGCGCAGCTCGTAAAGAGATCGCTTTTCAAAGTTGACAATTCGTCTGCGAAATTGTCCCTTGGCAAACATCGATGATTCTGATGAACTTTATTTGCATGCACAGTTTTTTCTTATCATAGAAAGAGGAAAATAAAAGAAGAGGGAAGAAAAAGTCGATAACTCTGGGAAGAGAAAAAGAAAGGTGAAGAAGACACGTCGGTCAAAGTAACGAGAGTCGTGGAAAAATCATGAATGACGTTTCTCCTTCGGGGGGAAAAAAGTGTTCTTTATCGGTCCCTTTCGTCGCGTCCTCCTTCAGAAAGATCTCTTTTCTTCGAAAGAACCCGACATCGAAGCGAGAAAAGAAAAGACCGTCTATCCGCAACCGATTGACCTCCGAGCTTGGCATGAACTGGACGATTTTTTTCACCGCTCGGGGATCAACTCGTCTACTATATTAATGATCGTAGAGCATGGATTATCCGACGAGGTTTCTCAAAGCGAAGCTTCTCTCTCCATTCGCGTAGCAACTTTCTTGGAAAATTGATTGTGCTCCCTCCTATTCTCTGTGTTGCTAGAGCCACGTGAAAAAAGGGAGAGAAGGAAAAAAAGGTTGGAAGGTTGCGAAGTATGGCCACTGCCATTGGTGGTTTAACGTCAAGAGAACGAAGGGAGGAGAGTTTGAACGGGTGCATTCGATAATCCGTTTTTTTTTCTTCATTAATATTTCAAGCTACTTTGTAATTGTCGGTTAGCGTTGGTAAATTAACAATATTTCACGTAGTTGAAAGTATATCTCATCAGCGAAATGAAAAAATATCTATGAGAAAGAATGTTTTACAACGTATTATGGTTGGTCCTTTACGATTGTAAGAGAAACAGATCCAAGCGTCGAAGTATCCGTGTGCACCTTTTGCGACGCGCATCTTCCAAATGTCCGATCGAATGAGAGCGATATTTTTTACTTTTGCTTTTTCCAGAACCCTGCGAGAAGACTTACTGCGCTTGGGGCGCGACGTGCGTCGTATCCGAGAACGGGAAAGCTTTGTGCCAGTGTCCAACGAATTGTCCGTCAAATTCTGCACCGGTTTGCGGCTCCGACGACGTGACGTATACGAATCAATGTCATCTGAGACAAGCGAGTTGCCAGAGGAGGAAGAATACCAGGATAAAACACGAGGGTGCCTGCGGTGAGTAACGCGTACAACTTTTTCTTTTCTTCTCTCTTGCAGGATTATTCCGCTTTGGAAAAACTTTTCTAAGCCCGGGGCTAAGGAAATCCGATGTAAAAATATGGGAGCGATATCGATATTATGTCCGATCAAATTCTTTTCTTTTCTTTTCCTCGAATCGGCTTACGATCTCGGCTTGTTTTCCAATATGTCGCCGTCGCGTTGCATAAAAAAGACAAAAGTAAAAAAGCAAAGAGACACGCTCGAAACTGGAAGGAACTCGACGACTTTATACCCAAGTCTTGCTAAGACACGAATCCCTCACGAATTTTTCATCAAACAAATAGACCTCGGTAGAACCCGGGAATGGAGTTATTAATTTGATTGGAAGTACGATGCGCGATCCAATGATATCTCCCCTGTCGGAAATTCAATTTTGAATCTGTCGCATAAGATTGCGCGTAGAGTCGCTCTGCTACCGTGGAACTTTTATAACCAGCAGACATCGGGGGGGCTGGGGGGAGGGAAGTCAAAGTTTCCTTCTGTAATAAAGTTTGCAATGTCATCTAACGTCGCAAACGTCTCTGTGACACATCGCTTGATAACAGAGGCGATCCTAATATTTAATTTTTATCCTAAAAACGAAATCCTATCCAACGACAATTATATAAATAGACTATTTTCGATCGTCTCCAGCGGGGATCTTGCAACCATGAATTAACCAACATCCGATATTTTTGATTTGCAGCTTCTTTTCACGAATCGTTCTTTTATTCAAAACGAAACGCGACCGGTGTCCATCCGCGTATATTGCAGTTTCCCGATCTTTCTTGGAATAATCCAAAAAGACAAAATTGTTATGAAACGAATGTTTTGGAATGTCGGTTCGTTGCTGTCTACCCTTTGACGGATAACTTTCATCTCCGTCTCTTAGGTTAACGAGACGAAAAGTAAATTATTATAATAGTAATGTCTCGTGGAATCGCGCGACGCGTCCTTTGGGTGGCAGCGATGTTGGTTGTATCAGGGTTGCATTTTCTAGGGGTGAGAACGAACCGTTTGTTCTCTCGAAGCGCATTTTCCCTCTTCTACTTCTCCTTCGGGGCTAAAACAAAAGGGGCATCTATTGTTTCCGTCTCGTCGGCTCGTTGCAAAATGAAATGTCATAGCAGCAGGTCCGCATCTACCTTCGCGAATTATGTTCCTTTACACGCGTATGGATCATTTCAATCGCGCCTACCTATCACAAAAGAATACTTTTTCAATAGCAGGAATGCAAGATGAACGAAGACGGCAAGCGCAAGGTCACCAAAGTTTATCGTGTTCTTGTTTTTTAATTGGGTCACATGTCTCTATCTCTTTCTCTTGTGGCTCCTATCTCTACCTGGATACGAGGATGCGCGATGCAAGGTCCTGAAAGCTTTCGTGTCTCGAAAGTGCGAAAGTCGTGCTTCGGGCACAATGAAGGTGCGACCTAGAGAGAGAGAGAGAGAGAAAGAAATATCTCGAGCTTTCGTTGGACCAAAGTTACGTCTATACTGGCAACGCGTCGACGCATACGCATACCAGAGAACGATGCATATACGAACAAAGATGCACGCGATGCACCAGCTCCCGTCTGCCGCTTGCCCGAGGTCGCTGATTGTCATTTGCCTTCGCGTACATAGAAGCAGCAGCTTTGTTTACCAGACAATAGACAATCTACGAAGCGAGCGAGAGAAATGAAGAATGAGAGACGAAGGTAGAGAAAGAGAGAAAGAGAGAGAGAGAGAGAGAGAGAGAAAAAGCTGGATGGATGGCGTTATGCGAGGAAGAAGGTAAAAAATGACAAGGCAACGTCTCCTAGCGGTGTTTTCAACGTTGCCCAAAGTACGCGTAGCCGATGCTACACCGTCTTACACTTTCCTAGAGATCGAGAAGGGTCCTTCTCTCCTTTTTGTTACCTCTTTCTTTCGGCTCGAAAGAAATTGGAAAGAATTTGCGGCTGCACGCGCGCAAAATCTCCCCTTCGTAGCTCGTTACTTCGTGCATTGGAAATTAGAGCACCGTGTTGGTTGGTGTTGCCGCTACAAGCCGCACCGTGCTACAATTTCCCAAAGGTACGCACTCCGTTATTGATTGCAGGCTATATTAATAAGGGGACGGAAGAATGTAGTTCGAGAGAGAGAGAGAGAGAGAGATAGCATTCTCTTCCGCAAAAGGCTCACGTTTAAATAACAAATAGACTTTACAGAGTGGAAAGAAATGAATAAATGGATAGATCCAATTGGTAGAGTCAAGATTGCATCGAAAGCATTAGCATAGATGAAAAGGCAATTAATCCATCGAACTTGACGTCGTTAATCCTCGGAAAAGAAAAAAAAAACAAGAAAAAAGCACGAAGAAGACGAGGATCAATTAAGTTAACAGGAGGCAATCTCGGTCGTACGCTTCATTAGATCTTTGAGAATATAAGAGGCAAGTTAACGGGGTAGGTATGTAGGAGGTACCGAGCAGGTACGTAGCAGGTACGTAGCAGGTAAGTAGCAGGTACGTAGCAGGTACGTCGTAGGTGGTACTCGGCCAAGCGCGGCCGAGTTTTATCTAACTTTTTCTCGGTGATAAATCGTCGATATAAATGTCGTCTGGACTGGTAACCCGTTATACCGCCCTTCCCACTTTCCTACCACTTCTCTTTTCTCCCTTTCCTCCATCAAACTCGGACGACGTACAATTCTTTTCCTTTTACCGAGTTGTTCGTGCGATAGGAACGACGCAACCGTAAAAATAATATTTCCTATAATTCTAAGATATTTATATCGACTGCGAGCTGAAGACAACGGCTAAGGATCGATGCGAAATGGCGCGACACGTTTTTGCCTCACGGAATCACGCGCTCCTGCAAAAGCAAATACGAAGAGCGATGCTCGCTAGAAAGATTCCTGGATGGTCATGGGTCCATCCGCGGTGATTCCAATTATTCCAAGAATACAAGACGCGACTGATAACGATGATTAATCGTCGAGAAGCGTGACAAGCTTCGAAATGAATACAAAATTCATTGCGTTTACCATTGCACTTATATATTTTTTCAATAACCAATCTAATATCTACGCGTTTCAGTATCTCCCTTATTTATTTATTTTCAATAGGAATCAGAATAGTCTATCTTACTATTCGCAAAACTCTCTTTCTCTTTGTCTCATTGTCTTTTTCCCTCGACTCTCTCTCTCTCTCTCTCTCTCTCTCTCTCTCTCTCTCCCTCGAATTCATTCGGGAACAAAAAGGAAGTAATAAATCCGCTTGAAAGTTCCTTCTATGATTCGCTGTGCGAGTCGTCTTGGCTCTGTAGACGTAACGCACCTTCGACTGTTTGCTCTCCGTCAGTCGAAGTAGCATCTAATGTTCCTGTCCGTGACACCTAGTCTGCGAGACCTACTTTACTTCCCTCTCGCCATCTCTTTCAGTCTCACGAAAGGTTCCGGCCCGATTCTTCGCATACATCTTCATTCCGCGAAATGGCGGAGCTCTTTCTCTATCTCCATCTTCCATTCGTCTTTTCTCGAGAGACGCGTTCTCCTTAGGTCTTCCCGGAGTTTTACCGCTTCCTTCTCTCTCTCTTTCTTATAGGAAATATCTACGGAAGACATAAATTCGACTTAAAATCCTACGGGAGTCGTGTGATTTAGGCGAACTCGATGAAAGATAAACGTACGGAATGCCCTCGCAAAAGTGCCGTCCTATCATAAGGAACGCGAAGGAGTGAAAAGGTCTACTGTCTCTCGAAAAATACAAGAAGAAAAAGCGAATCTGGCAAAAAAGCTTGTTTCCTCTGACGAACGAAAGAGTTACTGACCATCCGAGTCGAATTTGGAATCTTTAGTAAAAATTGTCTACGCGAAATAAATGTAATGTGCGGTAGGCTGCTCAACCGTATCGCGTTCTCTTTCCCGTTGTCATAGTTGACAGCTCGAAATAGCGGCGGGGCGAATTTTCTAAAAGAAAAATAACTGTAAGATGTGGCCTCTTTCGTTCCAGCAGTCGGCTCGTTCTCCCTAATCCAAGGCGGCTCTCAATTTAGCTTCCTCAATTTCGAGCCATCTTTTCCGCTGATGCCTCGGGCTCGTCTTCAATTATTACAACCACCGAGGTAGGAGGTATTTTCAGGGTGTTTTGACGATAACTGATGGGACAGCAGCGTCCTCGCTTTGCCCCTCCGTCATTTCTTCTCGCGCTTCGTGCATTCTCGTAGTCGTTGCCGTCGTCGCGTCTTCTCTGGAAACACCGCGTTGGCCTTCTCGTGAAATTTCATTCCAAGACCCATCCTGTCTCGACGTTCTTCCACCATTTATGCACCTTCACGATTTATAACGTCTCGCGTATTCGCGCTTACGCGCGTATGCGTGTCGAGGGAAGGAAGGGAAAAGAATTGACTAGAGCATACAACGTACGATCCATTTTTATTCGCGCACTAAGTACATATTTCTGGAGAGAAGAGTGAATATTTTGATAAGAAATAAATTACGTTTGTCGATATCGCCGCGATTCCAAGGAGGAATAAAATAAAACAAGAAAAAGGGAATAACGCGGTCGGATTACTCGGAATGTTTATTACGCTAGGTAGGAAGAACTCAAAGAAACGAAGGTTCCCGCGTTGCGTGGTTCAGGTGCTATCGCGTTTCTTCGTCGTTGATGAATACGAGATTTGTCCCAGCATACTCGTAAGAAAATGAAAATTTACATTATGTGGCCACCTGGAGAGTGGAACGCCTCCAAGCTGATCCAACCAAGTAGAATCGTATTCCGTCGGGTCGGATGGTAGAAAAGTAGATAGACGAAGAGATCCCTGTCTTCTTGCTTTTCAAGACAGTAACGTGTAGAGACTACAGGACTATAGCAGTCCGCCGGTCTAGTAGCCAGACCCCAAGTATGAATGTCACGTGGCGGAAACACGACAAGCATTTCGTTCACTCGACGGCGTCACGCAATTTCATATCCGCTTCACAAATGCACTCTTTTTCCCTTTATTTCTCTCTAAC